TTCTTATATATAAATATGATGACTCAATTAGTATTTTTGCTTATAAAAAAGCTAATAACTAAATATGATGAATCAATTAGTATGTTTGCTTATAAAAAAGTTAATAATTAATTAGACAATATACTGTATTTTTCTAAAAATAAGTAATGTAATTTTATTATAATGTTACTTATTTTTAAGTAGTTAAATTTTTTTTTAATATATTATATAATTAAAAAATTTGATTTTTTGTATTATAAATTACATGACTTTAATGTGATTACTGATCATTTAATATATATTATGTGTATTACAAACTGATTTATAACTTATTTTACATCAGTTACTATATTAAGTGCAATAAATAAAAATGCTAACTATTTAATGTACTTAAATAACAAATGAAGATGCTGGAAAAACTGTCACAGAAAATCTTTACTATACTAGATTAAATAATGTATACTTGTTATTAAAGTTTGCTTAAGAAGCAATCTATGATAAAACAATCATAGAATCTTTCAAGACTTGTAAAATTTCAACTAATTTAAACAAATCAATTTCTGAATTGAAAATTAGTGATAATGATAAAAATAGTGTTAAATATGATAATGATAGTGATTATAATATTAGTAATAATGATTGTAATGATAATGATAGTAGCTATAATAGTGATGATAGTAAAGTTGTTAGTAGTAGAAGTGATTAATATTTTATTTGTGTTAAAATTTTGCAATTAATATATATATTTTATGATAGTAATGCAAGCAATTATTTTATAAAAATTCATTAATAAAATATTTTTTTAATTTATTTGAGTTTTATTTTATTATTTAAAATATTCTTATTATATTACATATAGATTTAATGCAAAATTAATTAAATATTTAATATGTTGCTTATTTTCAGATATTATTTATTTTAAGAATTGCTTATTTTTAAGGGTTACTTATTTTCAAAGAAATATAGTAATCAAATATATTTTGATAAATATAGTAATTTACAATTTATTAAAATTATAGAAATAAATTTATGCATTAGATTTTTTAAATAGAAATTTATATTATATTTTAAATAAAGAAAAAATTTAATAAATTTAAATAAAAATTAGTTTTAATGATACTCTATATATTATATATATTATTTATATATAAGAATATTTAAAATTAAATTTAAAAATAATTAATTTAGTATTTTATTTAAATTATTTTAATCAAAAGTAAATAAAATTAACTTATACTTTTTAATTTGAGAATTAATCATTTCTTTTATTTTATTATAAATGTGAAAAAGATAGCTTCTATTATATAAATAAAATCTTTTATGGTGATAAGATTCTTTTTTACAAATTTCTAAAGGTTAAAATTATTATTGCTATTTTACTAGAACTATGTTCATAATTTTTAGAATTAAAATTATATAATATTTAATATAAAGTTATATATAATAAAACTGATACTTTCTCTATTAAACTTATAAATTTCCAATTCTTTTTGCATAACATAAAGTTTTATTACCAATATTATATAAAGTAATAAAGTAAAAATAAATAATTTATAAATATAAAAAAAAACAAAATAATTTATATATACCTGTAATTTTATTATTAAATATAAATAATTCTTTTATAATATACTTACTTATATATCATCTAATATCACCTTAGAAGTTTATAAATTTGTATTTGCATTTTCTGAAGAAATTTATTTTAAAATTCTTTTTAAAATATTTGTAAAATATCCTTATCTATATAGTCATATTACTTTACAGGTAAATGCAATATAAGATTTAATTATATCAAAAGATAAAATAAATTCTTTTATTTTTTTCAATATTATAAATTTGATAATTATTAGTAATAGCTTATTAGGTAAAAAAAATAACCTAAAGTTCAATAACTTTACTATATTGTTTTTTATATACTTTATAATTTTTATTTATATTTTTTCTAAGCAGAAAAATATGTAATAAATTATTATACAACTTTTTTTAAATTTTTTGTATTCAAAAATTAGATGTTACAAAATATTATGATGTAAATACAAATTTTCTATTATGATCAAATTTTATAAAAAATATAAAAAACTTGTTTATTTTGTAAATAAGATTATATTTAACTTATATTTAATTAGTAAAAAAACTTATACAAATTTTTTTTTAAAAAAAGCTATAAAAAACATATAAATTTTTATAGTGATATAATTTTAATATTTTTTAGATTTTGGCAGAAGGTATTATATGTTATATTTATTTCTTTATTTATATATTATAAATAATTTTAAATGTAAATAAAAGTTTTTTATTAAGTAAAATAAAATAATATTAATGCTAAATTAATAATATCAAATTAATTAATGTTTTCTCAATGTTAATGCTCTATACTTTTACAATATCAATATATTAAACTAAATCAATAAAACTTTAATTAATTAGGTTTTTAAGATGTATATATATAATTATAAGAAGGGTAAACATGATACAATACAGAACCTTTATAATAGAAATTTTGCTATAGTAAAAATGTAACAAATTTAAAATGTAAAAAAAAATTTTATTATATATAAAATTGAAATTTAATCTATAAAATAAATAAATTATGACTTGTGCTTTAAGAATCTTGGATTAGAATTTTAATATCTTTAATATTAATAAAAGTTATACTAGGTTAAATTTATCCAAAATTAATTATAAAAATTAAAATTGAAAAAAAATATATGATGATGAATTTATAAGAATGATTCTTTTATCATTGTATATTTTAATTTAAATATTATTGTAAATTGAATTATATAAAGATGTATTAGAGTACAGCAAAAGAAATATATAAGAATATTGCAATTACACATAGATTGGATTAATATGAATTATTTCTAAAGCATATAAAAGAAAAGAAATAATTATAGGAAAGAAATATTAAAACATTAGAATAAAAAGAATATAACAATCAGAAAGGAAAAACAAATTAAAGGATTAAGAAAGGAGAAGATTAAATAGAAAGATATAAAAATAGGAAAAAAAATAATATAGAGGAATATAAAAATTAATATAAAAAATTTTTTTAATAATTTGTAAAGGAAAATTAATGAAGATATAAGGAATAGTAATGAAAAATATAAAAGATGATTCTTAGACAAATTAAATTAATTTGTAAAACAAATCCTCTTAATAATAAGTAACAAAATATATTAAGTAAATATAGCTCTTGTTAAAGCTATCGAACTCATAAAATATTATATATTTGTAAAATATAAATTTTGATAATTATAATGCAATTTTAATAAATAAATTATGTATCAAATTTATAAGTAAAAAGTAGATTAAATTAAATAAGTTAAATAAAGCATTTTTAATCATCTTACATATATTTTCCTTGTGTGTCACTTTTTAGTTTCATTATTTTTATATTTCTTTATTTTAAAATTACTTCTCAATATTTATCTGTATCTTTAATAATAAACCATTTTTCTATATGGGGCCTTTGCAATAGAAAGGAAGGAAACTCAAAAAAAAATAAAAAATGAGTTAATAATAAATCTGAACAAATTATAGTATTTGAAACATTTTTGGCTTATAAACTAAAATTTTAATTTTTTTTGAGTTTCCTCCCTTTCTATTGCAAAGGCCCTATATATTAAAGCTTTATAAAAAAGTAGTATTTGTAAGGTTACAAACCTTTAAAAAACTACTGGATATTCATTAAAAACATTATACAGATAAGTCAAACAACTCAAAGAAATGAATACCTAAACAAAAAAGTCATTCAGGATGTCCAAAATGTCTTTCTTCTTTCAGTGTTACTACTTTAATCAAATTATAAATCATACAAATGTGTGTTAAGTAATAAAATAACTGAAAACCTAAAAAAAAATATCTTAACCTTGATATTACATTTCAGACAGTTAGAAAAAACCTTCAAAACCTTGGGTATAAAGTTTATATTCCTCGTTTAGTTTCTTTTCTTACTCAGGATGCTATGAATCATCATATTACTTAGGCGAAAACTTATCAAGAAGAATATTGAAATAATGTTATATTTTCTGACGAGTTAACATTTCAGATATTTTATAATATGATATTAGTTCATTATAAAGGTATAGAAATAATGCTGAGACGAGTTGTGGTAAAATACCTCTTTAAAGTTCATATGTGAAATACATTTTATACAAAGGAAATTGTCAAATTTCACATGTTCACAGAGAACATGAATGATGAACTTTACCAGAAGATTATAACTGAAAATTCGTTTGAGTAAGTATCTCAAATCTTTTGAAATGGGTGGACATTTTAACAGGATAACAATCCTAAATATGCCAAACTTATGATCATTTTGCTTTAGGATCATTATTCTCAAGTTCTCGATTAGCCATTTTTTTTCTAGATCTTAATCCAATAAAGAATTTATAGGCAATAATGAAATGTTGAGAAGAAGGTTAATATTATGGTCATTAAAAAAAATTGATTATATAAGACATTTTTATGAAATTAATAAGGAAAGAATAGAAGGTAATGATGTAAACTTATATATTAATCTTATAAGTTCTATGTCATGATGTATAGGAATGGTAGTAGAAAGTCAAGGTCGCATAATAAATTTTTAGGATTTTTATATTTTCATTATGTATATTTAGGAGTTTAATTTTAAAATTTTATATTTTTTTAATAAAAGCTAAGCAAGATATTTACCAATTTGTAATTGTCAGTTTTTTCTATCAGACTATATAACTGCAGTTTAACTTCAAATAATAAACTAGAGGTCAGTTCAACTCAAAGACTAAACTGGTAATTTTAAACTGAACTGAATTGAGTTAAACTGATAATATCTCTAAATATAATATGTAATAGTATTGTCAATATATTTATTTTATTTATTAATTATTATAAAATTATAACAAAATTATTTTATAATATATATATATATATTATACGTTAACTATAATTTTGCATTAAATGCTAATTGACCTAAATTATAAGTCTATTTTGAACTGATCTTATAATATCTTAAAAAGGTTTGACTAGTAATAGTTATTTAACGTATATGGGTTAATACATACAAAAATTATGCTGTGAAATTTTTTATTAAAATTGGGATTTTTATTTATGTAAATCATTATTATCTTATTTATTTATAATATAATTTTTATGGTTAGTTAATTTAATAAAATAATGTTAAAATAATGTCGAATCCAAAAATCTCTCAAAATCTAAATTTAGAATTTAATAATGATCGGTAATTTCTATAAATTATTGATTTAATTTCTATTTCTAGATAGTAAATTAATTTTTTTTTTCAGGATCTTTTCAGTAATTTTATTTAATTTTGATAATTTGTAACTATAATTACGAATGTTAATAATAATAATAATAATAATTTTTAAATACATATATTAATCAAATCATTAGAATGCTTACTTTTTTCCTTTTTATAGGATCGAAAACAAGTCCTATAGGGGAAGGGGGGTTAAGTTTTTTTTTTTAGTTAATTAAATTAATAAATTAGTATTTACTTACCTCATTTCTTTTTGTAAGTACTGGAATCTTAGATTATTTGAATCTGAGGTGAGTCCTATGAAGGGGAAAGATAATATTAATAAATTAATAAATTATTTAAATTAACAATTTAATAATTTACTTAACTCTTTCTATTTTATAGTGCTGATAACCTTAGTTTGATTGGATTAGTGCAAATCCTATAAAGGGGAAGAGTAAATA